TTTGCATGTTTATACAGCTTGTCTTGCCATGTATATTGATGTACCAATTTATAGWACAGCTCTCTAGAGGAAACTAGAGGAAAACACATGAAAACCAAGGGCTTTATTAAATGCTACGGTCTCTTTATAGTCTTAACAATGACCTAGGGATTGTATAGGAAAGATGTTTGTAATGTCTGTATACTGATAACCAAATGAGGCAGTACAGGACTGTCCTGATAATTAGTACACAAGCAAAATATAAACTTAACAGGAGTCCTTGAATTAATTGCTTGTGTTTGGGGGTGGACGGGGGAAGTTCAATACTCCATCATTTCCTTTCAGTAATGTTTCTTTAAATGGACAAAATGGGCTTTAAAGGTGCAATTTCTGCTGCTTGTATGTTTTTTTACATAAAGTGTATACTTATTGTACACTAGTTGTACGTGGTTGTACACCATCACTGTGTTCCAAAGTGATTTCACAGTACTTTYTTCCAGCTTACTGGTGTATAGGTATTCAGTGTCTTAAATTATTGTTCAAAGCAGCCCTTGTTTAGTTATAATACTAAAAAGTTTGGAACTGTGACTCTATGAAATATGAATTTTGTGAACTTGCATCTCAAATCCAAAGCTTTAAGAAGACAGTACTATTATCACAGCTCACCAGCATACTGGGCTATAGAATTCTGTTTCACCTCAGGTAGAATATGTTCTTTAGACCTTCACTCTTACAGATATCAATGCATTTAAGCATTGGTAAGCAGTTGAAATCACTCTGTTTTGACTGGTCTTGTTTTTGAGAGGCCTAGGAAATTAGCAAAACATCGTAACTAATAAAAGCAATTTAATCTGGCATTCAATGGTAAGTTGGTGGAAACAGAGTTTCTGGCAAGACTGCCGTCGAACCATATGTGACTATYGTTTCCCAGTCTGTGGAGGAGCTCACAGAGATTGGTCATACATCAGACTCTGCTGTGCAGGTACACTCTTTGGTGTATCCCTTAGAGCKGCAGTGGTGGCTTTTGTTTTCTGTCACTTAACTTCAGAGGTCTGATTGTTTTCCTTTCTTTGCTTCAAGTAAGGCTGCATTTAAACTGCCAGAAGGGAGGATGGTCCATGGGGTAAAACATGTTAATTGTAAGAAACCCTGAATCAGGACTGTCTTATGCAAGGAGCCTGTGGTTTTTTGCATTTGGATCAAMAGGCAAGTAAGGAATACTAGCATCTGAAAGACCAGTTGCATATTGAGAAAATGTATTGATTTAATATTGAAAATAAATTATTTTCCTGACAGTTGAGGGAGCAGGAAGTGGAATAAGCATTAGAACAGGTGCTGTGAACACTTACCTAGGCTAAGTTTCTGAAGGCCTAGCATATGTGACTGGTTGTGTCAGACATAGCAAGAAAGTTCTGTATAGTAGAGCTTCAGCAATATGATTTCTCTGCAGAAGTCAAAGGAAATAYTTTTTATTAAACTGCTGTGAAATTCAGTACTCTGTAAAAGTGCTCTTGTGCCTTATTTTGTGTAGCTTGAGCTGATAGAAAGCTTGAGTTCAGTCTAAGTATGGAAATACAGAGTGTATTTCAAGAGAGGAATTTTGTAGGAAGTTGTAATTCAATGTATTCCATCAGAAAATGCCGAAGTGACATGCCTTGACCATGTCACTTGTTTTCTTCTGTTACATATCCTGCCTTTGGAAGAAAAATGCTCCCATTTATAACAAAACTTTCTTCTAGAGCTTCAGTCCATTGTCTTCCACTGCCCTCATGAAGAAACCTGCCTTTACATCCTAAGGAACCAAGGATCATAAAAGAATCAAGAGGTCCTTTGCTGTAAAAGGGTACCTAAAAGGAACATGTTTCCTGGTTTACYCTGCACTTAAGTCTTTTGGGATAAAGTAGTATTAATGCAAGAGCATTCCTCTGGAAAAGTAATATGTAATTTCTTTCAAAATTAAGGGGCTGGTCATTTTGATGGATTCTATGGTTTTTACCACATTGCTTTCACCGTGGTCTCATTAACCAAAAAAAAAAAAAAACATGCTAAAATGGATAATGTCTCAGAACTTTTCATGTGAAAAGTACCAATTTCGTCTGGTTTTTATCCTTTTTTCCTGTAGCCTTTTTAGAACATTTATTTCCTTTTAAGTTTTAGAACTTCCTTTTTGAAAATATATCTTCATGTAGAATGGTAGAAATTTTTTTCTCAGTTGTGGAAAAGAATTTTACATACTGATTTATGAGGGGTTGCGTTTCAACTGTCACAGCTCAAGACTGTCCTGATCTGAATTAATCCAAAGGGAGTACTGTCTAAAATTGAACGTAGATGTAATTTGGATTCTGAGGTAAGATTTTGGGTTTAAAATGTTCATAAAGATGGCATGGATTTTTATTCTAACATACACCTCTTCCACATATGCATTGCAGTTGTTACGGTTCTGTATAAATATTTCTTGCACTGGCACTTGCTTAACTGTTAAGACTATTTGTTGTAGTATTTTGTAATTCTCAGTCTTTTCAGTATTTTGGCTTGATGCTGCAATATTGCGTTGATCAGGGTGATCAGATTATTTGCAAACTACTCATTCATTCACTCTGGTCTCAGCCTTTCAGTTTGTGGGGAACACTATTCTTGGTTATTTCATTTTCTGGTTTTTGTTCATTTAAAGTGATTAAAGAGYTGTACATTAATCTTAGTATTCCTAAATAGTGGGGAAATTATGGTCTATTACAATGACCAATTTTTAGGATTCCAAACTTACTCTAACATCTACTGAAAATATATGGATTTTTTTTTTTACTTAGGATAGAGATTTACAGCTCTTGTGTATGTGTACCTCAAGTACTTTTGTAAAGCTTTATTTCAGCACAATTCAATGCTGATAGAGAAATCTGCCATGTCTGGTCTCATTGYAAAATCAGTCCTTCCTAGAGGACTCCCTTATTTCTTTGACATATTTCCTTGGTGTTTTCCTGTTGGCTTCTGTTCCTGGACAAGTCCCTGGGTCATGTCCATAAGACTGCAGGTGTGCTCCTGTGTGGCAAGCACAGTTGAGAGTGAGCAGCAGAGGACTCTCACCAGCACCTTGTCCTCTCCTTTGCATCTCATCTCACAGCTTGCCTGGGACAAGCCTGATATTTCCCCTTTCCCTGTCACATCTAATGTAAAGCTCTGCCAGTGAGCTCTGCTGGTTCCTGAGAGTCTCCTCCCTTGTTGAGAATGTTGAGTCCCAGCTGATRCCAGCATGGGTGGTGCTGCATAGGCCACTGCACTGTCAAAAAGCCCCAAAGGCTGGCAGTGACACCAGCCATGAAGCCATGACTCAGTCCATCTGTTTCTTTCAATGTTGCCTTCAGCTGGAAGTACAGAAAATGTAACTTATGCMCCAGAATCCCCACAGGGATGCAACAAACATGTTCTTTCAAAAATCATACCCATTTATCAGTGTGAGTTTTTAAGCCAGAACATTGGCTTAAACGCACACTGATGAATATATTAAACATTTAATGTTAATACACTTTTATCTCCATAAACAACTCTTCAGGAAAAAAAGGTAACAGAAAAGGGGCTTGTTTTCTGCAGCCCCTTACATAWTCTTCTAAAGACTTTCCACAAATGTTACAGGTTTTTTTCTTTCCTGCAGGAGACCAGAAATGTGATTAGTTCATTACCACATAAAAGAGTTCAATCTCTCAAAAATCGTGCCACAAAATTTTCTTGTATGAATCCAGAAGTTAATAAGCACTCACCATTACTGGACTGTGTTAAAGACAAAATTGTATTCAGGAGGTAAGGGAAAAAGAATTTCTCAATTACTTGCAATTAATGCATTCTTTGTGACTTGTCATGCCTGTGGGCTTTAAGTGATTAAAGGAGCTAATTCTTGTACAGTTCTAAACATCTGCTTGAGAAAGGTACTTGTTTATGTCTGTATSTCAAATTATATGCTCTGTACTTGCTACAGAAACAAGAGATCAGGACATCCAACACATTTATAAGTGATTTGAAATGTGTTTGAAATAGCCTAAGCAGAGTATGATGACAGAGCCCAAAAATCGAAGAGTTGCCTCCTGTAGAATATTTAAACTCTGAGGTTAAGTGTTGTTCAGGACAAGTGTACCTTACAGTRCTGCAATACACTGCACTCGCTGGCAATAAGCTGGTAGTGAGCACAGAGCTTTGCTCCTGCACCCAAGTGAGCTGCAAGAATATAATTTTGTTTGTATAACTGCAGCTCTGCWAGTGACTTTTGCCACGCCTTCAATGAGGCTGAAGTGTTTTTTCCTTGTTGTTCAGATGTCTGCCTAGAAACAAAGCCATAGAGCTGATGTGAGAAGGTACTGTCTGCAGAAATGATAATTGCCTGATTATTGGTCAAGAGGTGTGTGTGGGGGGAATAAACATCAGCCTTGGCTTYACTTTGTGAGAAGCTTATTGTATTCGGGTTCTCCTAAGCTGACTTTAGATTGGCTAACATCACAGGCACATACTCAGCTACAGGCAGGGACTTTGGACCTTAGCATGAGGTACTTTTACCAGCATGCTAAYTCCTAGAGAATCTTGGCAATGAAGGAGATAAATTGTGCAAAGAATAAGAACAAACTTAGGGCAAAACCACTGGGATCCCTAGTGGTTTGTAAATCATTAAAATTTGTGTGATAGGTGAGGCAGGGAATATCTGAGGCTGAATCTGTAGCCAGAGCACCCTGTGGTGGTTCAATGAGCCTTCTGTCCCCAGCCTGGTGTGGGCTTGGTGCTACACAATCCAAAACTACACCTTGTGGCTGAAGAAGCTCCTTCTGCAAAGATGCTAAACAAAACAAACCTTTTGTTCCCTAGCCACCTGCCCAGTCTGGGCTGATGAAAACTGTGTGCTCAGGTAAAAGGTAAAGATTCCATTCCTTGTTCAGTAAATGTAAACAATATAGAATCTGAGTGTACTGCCYCAAAACTGAATATAAAATAACTCTAGAACCAAAGGCATAGTTTGATGGACCAGGATAGAAATTTTGCATCTAAAACCAGCCTGATACTACATGTATACAGATTTTTTTTCTTGAACTGTGAACAGCAATATGATACCCTTCAATAACAGACTATTTACAACAAAGGAGTAACTACAAAATTGAATGTCCTGGATTTATTGAACAGTAACTATTTTCCCAATTTTGGAATTTCAGARTACTTAATTTATGTGGACTGCTAGCATGCATGCTAGTTTTAATTTGGTGACATTTTATAATTATTCACAGTAATGGAAAAAAGTAAACTGTAAACATTCCAACAGTGCTAAAACTCATCTTCTTAACAGAGCCAAACCAAATAACAGCTTCTGTAAATGAAACATCATATATTTAAAACATTTCACTTTATTAACAATAAGTTAATCTGTGGCATTACCAAAGCACTAAAGACAGAGTGTGCAGATTGTCTAATGATCAGRAAGGCAACATTATCACTACCTTCATAAAAACTGGAGAAATGCCAAAGAACATGTACCATTTTCAATCATATGAACACTAAGCAGAAGAAATATACTTCCAAGTTTCTCCAGTTTTTCTGTTAAGTAAGGCAATAATAAAAAGCACAGCATCACAATTAACTACAACTCAAGATACTGAGCCCTGACATAATGCAGTGCTCAGAGGAATGTGCAAAATAAACACCTGGATTTGCACTTTGATTCTTTGTTGTAAAATTGAAAAAAGCAAACAACACAAAGTCACAACTGTTCCTGATTCCATTGTCAGGAGAAACAAATGCAAAGCTGGGAGAATCCAAACTGACAAAGATGTTCTTTCTCAGCCTGTGGTACCATTTGGAATATCTTGAGCATCTGCTAAATGTAGTTTTTGGCTGAAGCAAATCATTAAGGAATAACACTTTCACATGCAGATAAGGCATAAACAAGACAACAGAGTTACATGAAACTGCTTACTCTGGGATGTAGATCAGTCCAGACAAACTCTGTTTTGGTAAGCCCTATGCTAGTTCTGCATCAGTAGATGAATATTTCTCAATGATACTTGAGCATTACGTACCTCCAGCATTAGCCTGTGGATCAAGGGGGATGGCAGATTATTTTTATCATGATTATGTGGTATTATTATCACATTCCACTTGTCTTCCTTATGAAGTCTGCCTTAAACAGCTCACCACAGACAGGCAGTGAATGTAGACAGCAGTGCAGGATCTTATGCCCCAAAATCCAGAGCCCCACCTCAATGCGTACAAAGTGTGGAAYAACAGAAATAACCACACTGCAGAATAAACTGAACGCTGCACTCCTCCTCTGTCATCTTGGCTTATCAAAGGCACAGTGCAAAAGACAAGCTGAGACATTCAGCTTTATCTTCTTCTCTGTGGCCTAAGAGCACACATTTGTTCAATTACCTAAGCTTTGCTGAAGTATCTGACCCTAGAAATAAAACAGGTCAGTTCATTCTCCAGACTCAGATCAGTTACAAACAACCACACATTTGTAGGAAAAAACTAAAAGATAATAGAATTCACTTGGCAGTGGGACAAATGCTTCTGAATATGGTTGAAGGAAATTACTATGAATATTTGTTCCAGAATGTCTCAATAATGTTCATGTAGAAAGACCCTGCTGCTGATGGGCTTTGCCATTGCCAACACATTGTGGTACACAAGTGGTACATGGTAGCTAATTAAATAACCGATGAAAAAAACTGCCTGTAATTAGAAGTGTTAAGATCCAGTCACTTATGAACTGGAAGAACCTAAAAATCTATGCTGTATTATAGCACTAATTTAAAAGAAAAGGCATTATTGAAGTGATTTGTCTCTTACAAAGACATCAGTTGCTGGGGAAACACATGGCWATTTGGTTACAGTTAACAATAATTAACAATAATGCAAAATAAACATTTTAGGAAAAGGATACATTGACGAATTCAGTTCTTCTAGCTGCAATATAAATATAGACATTTATGAGGAATAGCATTTGTTAGTCAAATGCAACAATTATGCTGCTATGCTGAAATAAATGAATTAAAACAATGAAGGAAATAACTAATACTTTGGGCGGAAATGTATGRTTTATTACAAAAATCAAATCAAGCCTACATCAAACCTAAATTCTATACAATGAACTAAGTTCCAAATTACATTTAAATCTACTGCTGTCAAGACATTTAAAGGAATTTTAATAGTTTTGGTTTCTRTGGAAATACATTAGAGAAAGTGTAGGATATCCAGATCTACATTCCTCATGTGTCATCTTCCCCAGATGTAGGAAGACAGACCACAGGGAAAATGATCATAGTTCTCTAGTCCATGGGCTGTCCCTAAGCAGGCCTATGTGCTCAGGAAGCTTGTAGCTAAGCCTTCTCCACTCCCCAAAGCAACCAGCAGCTGTAACAAATGAAAACAAGGTCTTGTGTTTTCTCAAACCCAAGACCAGGGTAGGTTCATTAAAGATCTTCRTTCTCCTCCACGGTAAATCACTGTSCACCCAGGAGCAGTGTTTTCCTGAACTGAGCTTTGCTATGGGGTAAGTTCCACATTTTCTGCCTTCCCAGTACTTACATCTGATARCAGCCTATCCAGGTTGGAATCACTGGCTAGTTTTCTTTTATCTTCAGGGAGTTCTTCCATCTCCCCATAGAGCTCCAGGTTGAGGCGAGCAAGTTTCTCCTGCATACTCCGCACATGCTCCATCTGCTCTATGGAACATTCGTTTCCTAAAAGGACAAGCAAAAACTTTAGATAAAAAAAACCAAGAGAGCAAATGAAGGCATGAAGATGCAGCTTTTTACATTGGTTATGAGGAATTTAAACATCAAATTTCAAGTAAATTTGCTTTCTCAATGATTTCTCACTGTTTCACTATGGACATCTGTCATCCCATTTGATGTTRTGTTGTGCTGAATTTACAATGGCTACCAAATGTCCTAAGAGTTTTTTAGAATGCACATGGTTTTTCTATACTCCTGAATTTTTCTCTGATTTAGAAAGGCCCTGATTTTCAACTTTAAATAAGATCAAAATAAGCCTTTTAAGCCTTTTTTCTAATTTTGATTAATCTGAGAGTTGCWTTGTTGGAACAGATGGTTTCTATAATACGGAATTCTCAGGTTCTTTTGTAAAATCAGTATGGAATTAATATGACACACTGACCTAACACTAAACTTGCAAAAGCACATGYGCATCTTTCTACTTAGTACAAGGGAAAAAAGGAAGCAAAAATGGGTAGTAGTTTTTCTGAAACTTCATCAACTCTGACGCTGTAAAAATAGTAAGAAGCTAAGACAAAGAAGTAACCTGGGTAAAGTGCAGTTTGCTTTGAATTTCATACAAGTTGTTACCAAGTCTARAACATTTATACGCAGCAAAACTGGGTGCTAAATACAGTTACTTCTTCCTACACTATCACAAATAAGTGGCTTTAAACTTGGTATCCTTAATTTGCAAGGAAACGTGCTTCCATGCTGGAAGGAACAATGAAATGGCATGTGAATCATTTCACAACACAGACAACCTTACAGTGGGACTGTAATTTAAAAAATGCAGTAAGATGTATTAATTGTTAGTTTCATGTGGCAGAGTCCAACTGACAACTGTCCATGCAGCACACTTGTTTGCAAATATTACCACTGTACAGCTATAAAAAACAAGTATTGTACACACACTATTAATTCATGCACCTACCAAATGCCTGAAGTTTGCCAGAGTGAAAGTCATTCAAGAGACTCAGAAGTCCCCTTTCCATTTCCTGGACATCTGATACATCTGTGAGAAAAGAATGCTGGATTGGTGCTGCCTGTGCCCCTTTTGCTTCACCTCCTGGAGGTTTGGCTTTCTCTTTGATTACACTAAAAAAAAACCAAACAAACAAAACCATAACAAATATTACTTCCTACTTTCACTTTCACTGTAAATTTGAATTGTAAGGAAGTGTACATCCAGGCATCACAGTTCATCCTCACATTGTTATGTGAATTACCACTCCTGCTTGGAAAGTTCAAACAATTGTCTGTATTAGCACTGCTTGGTAAGTTTAACAATTGTGCAAAAATGTCCAGAACTTAAAGCAGAAGGACATTTTCTTCTCTAGACAATCTTGTRGACTGCAAGAAATTAATTTCTAGTAAATCCCAGAATAATGTTGAGACTTGAGCAGACTGTACAGTCTACTGTGCTGCAGAAACCACCAATTTATAGCACGTTATTTACTAATATTCCCTCAGCGCATCAACACATTTTTCCTGAAAAAGAATATATAGACTTTACATTGCACAAATTCGTTATTCATCAGGCCAATACTGGATCTTTCAAACAGACTGTGCTGAAGCTGGCAGTTCTGTATTTAATCTTTAGTTAAAACTCAGAGGTCAGTAAATTCTGTTGCTTCTCTCCAGCTGACATTTCACTTTAAAAGATAAATTTATCTATTGTGTCTGCCACAGAAACACATTTTCTAACATGCAGAAAAATTAATGCTCTCAAATTGAAATAGACATATTATTAAKAAAATACAAACTATTTTGACAGGATACTTTCTGAAGAACTGAATGGCTCTATGCAAGACACTGCCCCAACTGAGAGGTCTTCAATCAAAAAACACCTGGAAATTTTAGTTCTAGCTCATCCAGTTCAATTTATGTCCTTCATTTCCTGATGTACTTGTAAGTTTTAACCTTGCAGTCATGTAGTATTTTATTTGTTGCTCACAGCTGTACATCTGGGGCTCTGCTATCTCCCATATGATGCCCAAGTCTGATCACCCAATTACTGTCTTTCATCAGTCACATCAGGCTATACCTTGCTGTCAGTCTGAGTCTATAACATTGTGTAACGTTTCAGAAAGCTTACAAGAAGAGCATAAAACACCTTCCTTTTCTGTAAAATAACCCTTATACTGCATTAAACACAAACCATTCTGCTAAAAAAGACACATCAAACCTTCTCACAAATCTGAAACTCTTTTGTTACAACCAGTCTAAATTACCTTCAGACTCTGAGCATTGCCAGGTTTCTGGCTCCCACTCCCACTAAGTTCGCAAGCTGCCCCAAGCTTACCGCTTTAACTTTGGTTTTTGTACGGCAGGCTGTGGGGCAGGGTTGGAAAAGGCTGTACTTTTACTGACTGGCACTGAGCTTTTCTTGGAGTTWGCAACCTGAGCAGGGTGACTAGTCGATGACTTGGGGCTCCTTCTCTTGATCTTYCTTTCTTCCATTTCTTCCAATTCACTGCATCTAGATTAATGTCTTGTCCTTCACAGGGAAGAAAATAAACATCCATCAGAACTGGCATTCACAATAAAAGCAAGTGGAAAAACCGCTCATGGAAATGAAACTTGTAGTTCCTTCAGAGATGAGCACTCACTCATTTCTGAAAAGAAGAGAACCCAGCTTTCAGAAGTAGCTGTCGGGCCTGCTTGATCAATGGAACAGGCAGGAATTAAAATCTCCATCAGCGGACAGGTACCTCCATGTGCTCTCAAGCTTTGTGTCCCATGGATCATGGCTAGAAAACACCATGACTACTCAAGCCCACGGCAGGGAAAACACCGGCAAGTGCTGGTGGCACGAGGCTGCTGTGACCCATCCGTGCCAAAGAACTTCCTCTACAGGGAGCGCCGGGGCTTTGGGAAAACTCATTCGATGCCGAGTTGTTGTCGCTGTTACACAGCTGTTATAGCTGTGGTACAGTTGTTGCTGTTACACACACTGGTTATTACTACTACAGTTATTATTACACGCTTGTCACTGCTGTGCCTCGCTCGCTACTACTCTTACAGCCGTTGTTGCTGTGACACGACAGGCTGCGACCGACGGGCCCTGCCCAGCGCTGTACACAGAACCCACGCTGCGTGCGGTTACCGGGCGCTGCCTCCTCGCTGGGGAACGCCTCTGACACCCGTCACACCCCGCAGGCCGCCGACAGGGCCGCGGGCAKACGCGACGTGACCCTCGGACGCCATCGCGTACCTGCCGCCACCTCCCGGGGTGAGGAGAGCCCTGCCTGCRGCACGGGCAGCCGTGGCCGAGTGCCGCCGTTTTATTCCCGCGGCGCCTCGGGACGCCGCGTGTGGCCGGGGAGCAGGAAGAAGGGGACGGAGCGTCCCTCACCCCGCGAACCCTCACCCCCGCCCGGCCCCTCAGGCCCCGCCCCCTACCTGCGGCAGGCCCCGCCCCCGGAGCCGCGCGCCGACCCCCGCGGAAGCGGCCGGCTCGACCCGGCGCGCGGATCACGTGATGGCGGGGTGGGGCGGCTGTGCCGCGAGGTGCATTGTGGGAGTTGCGCCCGACCCCACCGCCTCCCCGTGGGGCGGACTACAGCTCCCAAAATCCCTTGCGGCGCGGCGCGGGGCAGCATGCTRGCGCGCCAGGGTCATCGCGACCAAGGGTTTAATCTAAAATACCTGATCTAACAAGTGTTAAAACACACGGAGAACACCATTGCACTGCCGACCTGTGGTCGTTTTCCCAGCCGACGCCGTGATTGCCTTCTCCCGTGCTCACGCGGTCTCCTGCCTGTAATTATATTCCAGCCGCAACTCGCTCGATACTGAATAGGCCTCAGSTGCTTTTGCTTTTTAGGACTGCCCTGAGCACTGGGCGCCTCAAGTGAGTATTTGACTCTGTATGGAAAATCACAGAGTCATTAGAGTTGGAAGGGACCCCGGCAATSATCCAGTCCCACGCCCSTGCCCAGGYAGGGTCACCRAGAGCAGGTGACACAGGAACGYGTCCAGGTGAGTTTGGAACATCTCCAGACAGGGAGATTCCACRACCTCCCTGGGCAGCCYCTTCCAGTGCTCTGCCTCCCACAATGTAAACAGGTTCTGCCTCATGTTGAGGTGAAACTTGTTTGACTTTGTGGAGCCTTMATCAGGGAGCTGACTCATTTGTAGCCTTCGTTACCTGCGTTTATTAGCATAAGTTTAMAGAACTGTGCTTGAGCCCTCCCAGAAATTACCCTCCCATGACATATCCTCTATGTTGCAAGGCAGCAGTTTGGGTCAGCAATAGGAATTCTCTCCAAGAGGACATGCTGGAATAACCCAGTATACTCACATAGARCTATATGGGCTAGGAAGGCCACCAGGGGATCAGCAAGTTTGGGACAAGAAGAGGATATAGTATTAAGTTGAGCCAGGGCACGTTTAGGTGGGACATTAGGCGGAATTTCTTTACAAAAACGGTGCTGTCGAGGGCCGCGGTGGAGTCACCGTCCCTGGAGGTTGTTAAGATGAGACTGGACGTGGCACTGARTGCTGCGGTCTWGTTGACATGRTCATAGATTGGATGATCRRTGATCTCAGAGGTCTTTTCCCRCCTCATTGTTCCTGTGATTCCGTCGCCCCGGGGAATAAAGGCTGAGGAGAGCAGAGCGGTGGGCAGAGGCACGGTCACCGTCGGCGGCAGTGCGGGCCGTGCCCGGGGGACTCGGGGCCGTGTCGGTGTCACCCACAGTGACACGGGCGGGACGGGCCCCCGGCAGTGYCGATCCCCGCCCGCAGGGGGCAGCTCCTCCCCGCGCTCCCGACGGCCGCTCCTCTCCCGGTCCCGAGCTCTCCCTGCGGAGGAGCCGCGGGGCGGAACGGCTCTTATTGACAAGGAAGACCCGCTCTCGTCCCCGCGACAGATGTGACCGGGGCGGCTGTCGATCCCAGTTAAACGAGGAATCCCGCTGCCGCGTTGAGTTGGATACAGTTCTCTCTGTCATTTCCGACCTGGATTTCAGTCCTCAGTCGTTGGCTTGCAGGAACTTAATTTTCTCGCCAGGCAGTATAATTAGCAGGGTGTGTCTACCTAGCCTGAGTGATTAACGAGTTCAGCCCCACCAAGGCTATTTCCTGGTGCCGTCGCTGTTGCATTTCTGGTCATCACTTCTCGCCTCAGTGCTCCATGTCACTGATGGCTTTGTGGACTTGAATGGTCGGCACATCTTTMCCACCTATAGCTGGTAGCCTGAGCTGTTTTCCCCTCATGTGACAGTAGTTTGTTKCCTGGAGTAATTAACTTATCAACTATTTCTACAACTTGTCAGCTTGAATTTCTTCCACCTGCAACGAGATCTTATTTTTTACTTGAGAAGCGTTTTGTTCATAACTGTATGTTTTCTGATGAAGGCTCTCAGACATTATTCACACACCATGTATGAAGGGTAGTACGACCCACATCACCCACAGTGAAAACACTGGCCAAAAGCTTTACTGGTGTTTGCAAGTGTGTGTCTCGGTGTGAAGGTACCTCATGGCTTAACAGGTGTACAGCACCTAGAATGCACCTGTACCTCTGTGTAAACTTTCCATGGTACCAAAAGAATGATTCTCCAGTCATACCCTGATCCTTCTTATGGATCTTGAATTAGACTTGAGAGGCTATTAAATATCAGTGCCTCATCAAGACTTGCACAGCTTGTCAGAGTTGTGAGACTCAATGGCAGCTTTGAGTCCAAAAAGGGGAGCTGTCGAAGGGAAATTGTATTTGAAGTGATTCTCAGGTGAAGAACAAGGACCAAATGTCCACTGAAGGTCATGCTATAGTGAAAGTAATTCCTTGCAGGAGGTCACAGTTTGGTTTGATACATTATGACCAGTAATCTCAAAATGTTGCACTAGGTCTGTGATAGACTGCTGATACACTTGTGGGACTAAACAGTCAGGGTGTTTGCATGTAAGCAACTGAGAAGAAAGAAATTAATCTCTGCAACATTGGAGATGCATTAGACAAAAAGGTGGTGGTACAAGACTTTAGGGACAGGTAGAGAAGCTGAATCAGTTGATTCTGTAATGCAAAGGGCTTCTGATACCTGGTTTGGCATGCATTACAGGGAAGCAAGAGCTAGCGAAAGGCACACAGGCTATGAGCCAGACACAAATTCTCAGTCACAGGGCTGCCCAAGCGCCTCATTTGCACAAATACATATATGTGTATACATAAATATATAGGGGGCTACAAAAGGTGGACAAATCGAGTGTTATAGTGTACAGCTATTTGGGAGATTTATATGAGATAAATTCTGTTTCTGCAGGGTAACTTTAGAAATGTTTATGTTCATTTAGTTCATTCCTCACATGCTATATGAGCAAGTAAATGTACTTGCCTTGCAGTTGGTATATAGAGGTGTGGTTTGGTTTTGCTTGTGTGATTAAAGGTGTTCTGTTTGACAGTTTGGATGGAAGGTGACTGAGTGTCCTTTATTTCTACAAAACAATTGAAATAGAATGATGTTCTGTTTTTAAATAAAGGTGAAATGTTTCCATCACTAAACAATTTAAAAATAAAATTACTTTCATATTCAGGAAGCAGTCGGATTCCACAGTTAACCCTGCTTCAGTGTAGTATCTCAGCAGGAGAGATCCAATACTACAGAGAAGATATAGAATCAATTTTAGCATTTTTGCTCCAAGTGAATTTCTTATCACTTCACCCTGTCACATTCAAATTATTATAAAGGTGTCTCTGTTATTTCTATATCTGATATAGAAGGGCCTACAAGAGCAGATAATTGAGAAAGCCCCAGACTTTATGTTTCCATAGAGAAAGTAATTTTATAGTAAATAATTAATTAATTTCAAAACACAATAGTGAGTTAAAAGCAAAGAATCAAAGGCGGCATGGTCTTGATTTGATACTAAAAGCCCTATTGAGCAGATAACACTGTTGTCTAGAATCAAATAACATTTGAGGGAGGAAAAAGGTGTGTTTTGGGTTATCTCTATCTGAGCTTTTGCATAATTCTGTATTGTGGTAATGCTTCTCAGCCCGGAAAAGGCTTTTTTTTGTCCATTAAATGGCTTTTTTTCCTGACAACTCCACCATTCAWTACTGTGGTAGCATTTGTATATACTTGTTGACTGAAATGCACCAAGGGTAACAGTATTTTAATAGTGACAATGTTATTGTTTAAGCAGCAAATTAAAAAGTTAATTGAATCTGATTTTATTTACATGTGTATCTCCTTACAAACTAGAGACCTACCTTTGAAGATGCTTTGAAGAAGAACTTCAAAGAAGTTAAGTTTGTACTTTGTATTGAGATATGCATGCAAATGAAATCAGATTCTTCTTTCTGAAAACCCTATTCAGTTAACATGAGATGGCAAGTCGGTTCTAAAGGCCTCCAAGACAGTGATGAAAGCACTGGGTTCTTTAGCTTCTATAATTAATTTTGGATGTATTTCACAGCTTGGCACTTTGTAGTCATGGAAGCATGACATTGCTGTAGCATCATCTTCCAAAAAAGAGCATAGTCTGGGRAYATACCTATTCACAGGAAGGAGAGTACTTGCTGTTGGTTTGCGAGGAGCAGCATAACAAGGTGTGTATCTATCAGCCAGATAAACATGCAGAACAATGCAGTGAAGTTGAAATTATACATATAATTAATCAACGTTAGATTAATATGGATGCAGAATTGCGTGGGTTAGACATGTGTATCTTCTTTAGACACTGGTGATGGATATGTCCTCAAGAAATGTGACTGAAAGTGTGCCAACATGTATACTTACATTGTATCTCTCTTTCTCCACTATCATAGTGCTAAGTGAAGGAATATGATCATATATAAATATTTAGACTTCTCTATTATTATTGATCAGTTTCCACATCTCCAGCATGAATAGTCCATTGAAATCAGTGCTGTTACACAAGAGCAAGAAGTTTAAGACCTCCAACAGTATTATGTGCTTACAAAGTGTTCTTATTGCAAAAAATCAGTACTTGATTAGCTACCAAGACTTTAAATACATGGCCTGCTTAAAAACTAAATAAATCTTTTACCTGAATGTGGATAAAGAGTAACCCACCTCCTTGGGCCAGCAGTATGGTGATTCAGGCACCCAGAACATAGTAATGAAGGGACTTGCTGAATCCCTTGGAAAGCAGCAGTCACCCCAAGAACAAGGCCTCTAGGGCCTCAGTGTCCCTAGACAACCTCACCTGTTCTCCACCCCACTGCCCAGAAGCCCAGGAGTCCCACTTCGGTTCAGCCAGGGGTCTTCAATTCCTTTCTAAGACAAGGGTCTCCAGCTCTCTCTTCAGCTCCTGGATGGACTCCTGGAAAATTATTTTTGAAGAATTTTATTAATATATCCACTAGTTAGTCTGGATTTCACATTCACAGTATCATGGATGTGATAGTGTTTGGA